AGGCCCGGTTACGCAGGCACTTGTGCCCGGTAGCGCGTCCCGGCGGCGGGAGGGTCACGCCGTGTTGTAATCACCCCTGCAGCTCGACGGCAGGATTTTTACCGAGATCACGCACAAAGGAGGAAATAAGATGTTCACTTTGTGACTTAACTGGATGTGAAATTGTTACTAGGGAAACCGGTGTTAAAGTGTTGTATTGTTTTCTCTTTCAGTCACTGGAATGAGTCCTTTGTCCCCGTATTTAAATTTGGACCCCAGGTATCTAGTACAGGTGAGAAAGTGGCTTGTTTTAATTCTCTTGAACTTAATTCCACTGTTTGTATGGTCACATGCAAAAACCTCAAAAATCCTGTAGTGCTATGCAGAAGTCTTGGAACTGACAAACAGTTGAACACTTTTTTCAGTATTATTCCTAATAAAAGCTTGCAGTGCTGTGGCATCTAGGATAAGAAAATACAGATAATTAGAACTGTTACATCAATATAAGCTTGCTGCTATTGTAGTCTTCCTCCCTACTCCAAGGCATACAGCCCCAACAGGCTCTTGCACAAATTTTAGCACTTGTCACACCCTCCACTGAGCCACTTCAATAGGTGAGAGCAGCCAGAAACTCTCCATGGTTTTTGATGGATTAGCTTTCTCTGCTCTGGTGGGTTTGGTCAGCTTACAGAGGGGTTCAGCCAAACCTCAGACCTGGCTTTGTCACTGGAGGTGCTGTCATCACAGCAGCAGCAAATGTCACACCACTTTCCTCATGGCATCCCTTCAACTGGGAAATGACATCTTGAAGGAGACCTTTGCTTTTTGTTCTAGAAATTGTCACTGGAGGTGCTGTCATCACAGCAGCAGCAAATGTCACACCACTTTCCTCATGTCATTTCCCAGTTGAAGGGATGCCATCTTGAAGGAGATCTTTTTGTTCTAGAAAATAAAGTAGCTATCATACTTTACTTAGATTAATATTAGTTAATGTGGTGACCCATGGGCTGCCATGAGGAAAATAAAATAATTTAAAATCCTATAATGTTTTCCATTCTCAGCATCATTAACACTGAAAAGGTTTAAGTCAATTCAATAAGGATACAGGTCCTAATGAGTGTATTTAGTTAATATTTTACCTATTATACATGGTTTATCTGAGAACATGAAATTTTGCAGAATTAGCACTGAAAGTCAACAGTTGTATCTCCTACTCCATGTGCCTTTGGTTTCATGGCACTGCTGCTTTTGTAAGTGGAAAGCTCTGAATGCATTTCTAGAGGTTGCCTTTTAGATTTCACCAGAAGCTGTTGTAGTCAAGATTACAACACAACATTTCTCCATAATGGTGTTAAAACAGGGGGTGTGCATCTTGTTTTAAGTGGTTTCACTAGCATGAGAATCTTGCTAGCTGTTGTTGAAAAAAAAAATGGAAAGGGATTATTTAGACCTCTCCCAAAAATAGCATCTAAAGTTGTTTAGTTAGTGGGAACACATTGGTGTTGATCATATAACAGGTTTTGGAACAGTGTGTGTGCTGATATATTTCAGTAAAAAACAAATTTGCTTTTAAAAACAATGACAGTGTTGGCATTAGTGTCATGAATCACAAATAGTTCTAAAAATAACTATTGATGCAACACTAGAGGCTGTATTTGGTGGTGTAACACTTCACTAATCTTTAGCACTAGCAGGTATTTTGAAATAAAAGGGAATCCCTTTTAAATGTGAGAATTTTTTCACCTCAACAAGTTGCCCAGACAAGCTGTGGGGTCTCCATCCTTGGAGATGCACAAAACCCATCTGTGGCCCTGGGCAAACAGCAGCTTCAGGCAGGGGGTTCACACTAAACAGCCTCCATGGGTCCCTTGCAACCTTAACCCTTCTGAAGTTCTAAAATTCAAGGAAAAATATCCAGCTAATATTTTAGAATACAAGAAATGCAATTATAAGCCTTAAAAACTGGTTTGGCTGTGAATTTGTGCATGGTTGAGGGAAAGTTAGCCTTGTCCAGAACCTTAACTTTTTGGAGAGTAGTGAAAACTGTAAGGAACTGCTAACTAGTGTGCATGCTGAATTTCTCCAAATATCTAGTAACAGCAAAGATAGATACCATAGGCACTGAAACTGTACCTTCAGTTTAAAGTGTTCAGCTGTAGAAGCTGTGTGGGTTTTTCCTGTGTTGCCTTGCACACTTAGTGCCAAGTATGGACTAAGAAAACCCCTTAGAAGGCAGTTGCTTGAGCCTGCAGTTGTTGAGGTCATAAATGACAGGTGAATAATACCATGACTTGAAAGCACAGAAGCATAAGGAGGGGTGCTGCTGCCCCAGCACCTCATCAGCACGTGTGCACAGTGTCCAAATATCCCAGAACAAAGAAGCCTTTGGCCCACCTCACCTGTACACACAGTGATCAGCCCATTTCTCTAGCTTTTTAGCCCAACCTGATCACAAGCCTGTCCCTATGGGGGAAAGACAAGTGAAAAGCTGCCAACCTCACCTATTTTGTGCCTGATTATCACTAGGTTTTAATGTCTTTGCTTTTTCTTGTCTTCAGAACAGATCTTCAGTGCAAGGAAAGATTTCTTTTGGCACAAAGATGGTTTTTCTTTGGTGTCAGAGCAGCAGGAAACCTTGATGCATTACTGCATTAGTGTAGGTTCCTCAGTGAAGCAGCGGTGCTGAGTAATCACAGGAAGGTTTTCAGAGGGCAGTGAGCCTTATTTATTGCATCTTGCCATGGGCAGTAAGAAAACAGTCATTTTAAAAAACAAAACCAACAACCCATACAATGTAAGTGCCTTGGCTCCCTGATGTAACTTATAAAAAGTTAAGGGCAGAAACCTTGATGCATTACTGCATTAGTGTAGGTTCCTCAGTGAAGCAGCAGTGCTGAGTAATCAGACAGGAAGGTTTTCAGAGGGCAGTGAGTCTTATTTATTGCATCTTGCCATGGGCAGTAAGAAAACAGTCATTTTAAAAAACAAAACCAACAACCCATACAATGTAAGTGCCTTGGTTCTCTGATGTAACTTATAAAAAGTTAAGGAAGGGCAGAGCTTTTTTTCTCCCTAGCTATCAATTTATCTTGAAGAGGGTAGATTTAGATTAGGAATTGGGAAAATGTTCTTCACTATGTGGGTGGTGAGACACTGGCACAGGTTGCCCAGGGGCATTATGGATGCTCCACCCCTGGAGGTGTTCAAGACCAGCTTGGATGGGGCTTTGAGCAACCTGGTCTAGTGGGAGGTGTCCCTGCCCATGGTAGGGGGATTGGAACTGGATGATCTTTAAGGTTCCCTCCAACCCAAACCATTTTATGATGATTCCAAGTCATTTTTTTCATTCTTCTGTAAGTATACATACAGTACATTCCATCTCTACTAGTCTAGACAATGGTTTTCCAGAAACACTCCTGTTTGTCTTTAGTTTATTCTGTGGATTAAAGCAGGGGGAGAAGGCTACATTTTGAAGCAGGTACATTTGGAAAATACAGAAGTGTTTTTGTTTTCCCCCAGGATACAGATGAATTTATCTTGCCCACAGGAGCCAACAAAACCCGAGGCAGGTTTGAGCTGGCCTTTTTCACCATTGGGGGATGCTGTATGACAGGTGGGTGCTCGTAGCTTCCCCTTCTCCTACTGTGCAGGGAACATCTTGGCACTGAGTACTTGATGAGATTGTAAATGCCTTGTTCTGCAGTCTAGCCTTACATAAACACCTACTTCAGTCTATACACTGAAGCCTGTTCTCAGCATTTGCTTGTAGTGTTGTTCTTTTTGGTTTTTTTCTTCAAAAGTAATAACTGATGTTGTGCTAACTAGGGGCAGCATTTGGTGCGCTGAATGGTTTGCGACTTGGCCTGAAGGAGACACAGAATATGGCATGGTCAAAACCTAGAAATGTACAGTAAGTGTTGAATTTCAAAAAAAAAAAAGTAAACCTTAGTGACAGAGTTGTTTCTCCAGCTTATGCAGGGTTAATCTGAATATATTGGGGGAAAAGAAGTATTTTTGTATCTTTAGTGGGGGACAAAGAGTGTTTACCTTCATCAAGTTGTGAAATACTTTGAGTTACAATGAATTAAATTGCTTTTCATTTAGTGATAATTGCTTTGTCCTCTGACTTACCTTAAATATTTGAGAATAAATTACTACTGTGACATTCACTAGAAATCTACTTCAAAGTCAAAACAGTGGGGGTTTTGTGTTGAAATATTCCCAGAAGCAGCAGTTTGCTTTTAGATGTCAGTTCTCTGAAAGCAGGTTCTTTCTTCTCTGCCTAACTTTTCAAAGCCAGGAAGAGATTAAAATACAGAAGCTGGGCCTGCTGGGATTTGCATGAGGGGGGGACATAGGTGTGTGCTGCTGAGCAAGGTTTGCATGCTGGAAGTTGTTCTGCATTACAGCAGCCAATTAAAAAAAACCATGTTATTCCTACATTTTCACCCTACCCAATTGGTGTGTGCTGCTGAGCAAGGTTTGCATGTTGGAAGTTGTTCTGGATTACAGCAGCCAATTAAAAAAAAACCATGTCATTCCCACGTTTTCACCCTACCCAATTTCTTCAAATAATGCAGTAAAGATAGGAACATATTTTCTTCTTGCAACATGCTTCTCCTTCTAGAATTACTGGCATTTTAGACATAAGAAAACTTAAGTGCCTATGAAGGAGACATAGGAAAATAGAGGAGTGAAATAACTGGAGGAAACAATTTTCACACTCCTTGAATGCTTTAGGAAACGGAAATTTTAGAGGAGGAATTTAAAATTTCCTAATACAGTTTATACTACCTTCTGCTCGTTTAAAAACATTGTTTTATATTCTTCATCCTCTTCTTGACCATCTCTAGAATTAAAGGCAGAACCAAAGTATTCCCAACTATAATTACGACTCTTCTGTAATGTTCTGGATGAACAGAATTGTATTTTGTGTTGGGAGTGAGAAGAGTCAAAGACATGTGGAGTGTGAACTGTGCTGGGTGGAGCCCAGCAGGTGGCAGTCAGTGTGCATGCTGCTGTTAGTCCTTGCCCTTAAAGGGAAAAGGCCTGTTGAAGGTCATCACCTTGAAACACTGTATTAAGTTCCATGTTTCCCTTATCAGCTTCAGGGAGGAGACTTATCTAGCTAGTTTTCCTTCAAATTTATCCTTAATGTACACATGTATTTTTAATTTTGCTTTCAATCCCATCATCAAATCTTAGTATGTCAATTAATTTTCTTATCAGTTCAGAGTAGATGTCATGTTAACCAAATAGGGGTGTGGATTCATATTTATGGGAAGATGGTCAAGAAGAATCATAGAAGACTGGATTTTTTTTTCTTGTTTGAGAATTGTTTTCATTATTGTTTAGTTATTTACCTGACTATATTCACTGATGGCCTGTGTCTCCCAGCAAAAATTTCAAAGAGGCAGAGTAACGGAAAATGAACTCAAATCAGAAGGAACATAACATGTGACATTTTAATTGCTTTAAATAAGCTAAATTCCAGTGGTAGTCAGCTGTCCAGAGCAGTACTGTGCCTGTGATAGTGTTACACTGCTGGGAGATAAGGATCAGTCATTCCTTCTGGCTGCTGCTGTCCCCGTTCTGGAGACAGCTGATGTCCCAAGGAAGTGACACCCTGCTTCCCTGAGAGCGCACTGAAGAGTTCCTTTCCCTCTTTAGTGCTAGTCTGGAAGCATACAGACATAAATACTCAGAGCACTTCAGGTTTTTTGGGAGCCAGGTTTCACAGGTGGAAGTGCAGAAGATTGCCACTTGCCCTCCTGACTTGCTCTGGTTCATAGAATCATAGAATCATAG